TGAAATTTCCCTCTAGGATCCAAAACTCTCAACTTCCCTTTATACAAAACCAACTGACACTCAAATAGCTGTCAACATCCCTTACGAGGATTTAATTCAACCTGTCGTTGGTCCTAATAATCCGTTCAGTACTCGAGTAATTAACCAAAATGTTCTCACTGGCCATGTTGAGGAACAAGCCTATTCCGAATTTGCTTTCAGAACCCAACAACGTACTTTTACCTCCTTTGGTTATGCTGCAGATCCTTCTCTTGTCAATACTAGCTCTGGTGGTGCTGTCAATACAGGTTTTGTTGGTGATGTTGAGAAAGCCATGGCTATGAATGGTGCTACAATATATGATTCAACTCCTAAAGTGGAAAATACGCCGAAAAGAAAGCCCAAAGGTGACTCTGCAATATTAGAAGGTGAAGATTCTTATCAAGGTCCTTGGGCTGGCTATGAGGGCGAAAATATTGGCACTGCTGTTGGTCCTCCAGAGGTTCATGTTTTTCAATCTTACTTTTTAACTATTGTTGATAAAAATATTTTAATTTATTCAATTCACAAAATTGTTGATTGTTGTCAATTCAGGGTGCAATTCCTAAAAAGGCTGATACCGATGTTAGTTCTAAAAAACAAATTGAAGTTGGTCAAGAAAAGACAACATTTCATGGTATGTTTATAGTATGTCTATTATGAAAATTCGACTTCAATTACTATGTGGTATTTATTATAATTTGCTTATTTTTATAATTTTAAAGGGAAATCCGAATTCGATTATCAAGGTAGAACTTATATGCACGTACCACTGGACTTGGATGTAAATCTATTAGGGGAACCTGGTTCACAAGAATGTTTTATTCCAAAACGTTGTATTCATACATGGTAAAGTAATTATTCTCTATAGATGAAGTGACCCATGCTTCGTTGTATTTCTTTAATAACTAAAATGTTGTTTTTAGGTCTGGTCATACTAAGGGTGTTTCAGCAATCAGGTTTTTCCCAAAATCTGCTCATTTAATATTATCAGCTAGTATGGATACAAAAGTAAAGGTATTATAATTCGGTATTTAGTGAATATGACAATAGAATTATCATTTACAGTTATCATTACTAACTTTGTGTTTCATTCACATATTAGATCTGGGATGTTTATAATGATCGTAGATGTTTGAGAACTTATATGGGCCACAATAAAGCTGTGCGTGATATTACATTTAGTAACGATGGAAAACGATTCTTGACTGCTAGTTATGATAAATATATCAAATTGTGGGATACAGAAACTGGTACGAGTGATGAGTATATATATTTGTTCATAATCATATTGTTTTAGAACCTTATATTTAAATTTGACATTATATTTCGATAGGGCAATGCATTAAATCATTCACAACAGGAAAGATTGCATATGTTGTAAAATTTAATCCTGACGAGGATAAACAGCATATATTTTTGGCTGGATGTTCAGATAAAAAAATCGTACAGGTAAAGTCTCTATGATACATATATGAATTTTAACATTCATATTTTGTTAACAATATTCATTTATTCATTCGTTCATAATTGGTTAGTTTGATATCAATACTGGCGAAGTCACACAAGAATACGATCAACATTTAGGTGCTGTGAACACTATCACATTTGTAGATGAGAATAGACGATTTGTTACAACCTCAGATGACAAGACACTAAGGGCATGGGAGTTTGATATTCCAGTAGTTATCAAATATATTGCTGAACCACATATGCACAGCATGCCCGCCGTAACTTTACATCCAAATAGTAATTATCATTCTCATTCTATTTTCTGATATAAATTTTATATAAATTACTCAAAATTATACGACTATTTATTTTTAGAAAAATGGCTAGCTTGTCAATCATTGGATAATCAAATTGTTGTATATGGGGCTAAAGATCGGTTCCGTATGCATCGCAAGAAGCGATTTACCGGACATTTAGTTGCTGGCTATGCTTGTCAGGTCAATTTTTCACCAGATGGAAGATTTATCATGTCTGGTGATTCTGAAGGTAACATTTGGTATTGGGTAAGTGTTTTTTTTTTTTTTTTTCTTATGATTTGTTTTTATTTTTTTTTATTTTTATTTTTTTTTTTTTTTGACTTTTTTCTTTTTAGGATTGGAAGTCTTGTAAAATGCTCAAGTAAGTTTTGTTGCATTATATTTGATTATTGTTTATAAGTCCAATTTTACTAATTTTATGGACAATAGGAAATACAAAGCACACGATAATGTTGTTATTGGATGCGAGTGGCACCCTCATGAAACTTCCAAAGTCGCAACCTGTAGTTGGGACGGATTGATAAAATTATGGGTTAGTCTTTTGCATTTTCCCATGTTTATTAATACTTATGACTAATTTTCATATTTTGTTACAGGATTAAGATTACAGTCAGGGATTTTACCAAATATGGACAGTGTTGATCGCACCTTTTATAGTATGCAAATGGCGATCAGATGTTTCTAGACATTTCT